AAATGTGAAGTGTATATATATATATATATATATATATATATATATATATACATGTTTGTGAGAGAGTGATGATTTATATGTTAAGTAGTACATACTTTTTGGTCGAGATATTTATCAATCAGCCTATATCTGTATATATCACAATATTCATAGTTTAAGGTCATATACACCCTTTTCTGAGAAACGAAGCCTATTGAGGTTGTACACGGGAGAAAATTCTCGTTTGTCCCAATTTATTGTTGTGGTTGATGGATTATACATCATGGTTTGTATTATTCCCATTATTATTATTACTATTCACGCCGTTGTTCCTGTTCATAAATTTCATCATTTCATCATATTTGTATGTGTGGGCTGTGATACTGCCCCTGTGCCCAGACCGAAACAGGTGGTTTTCTTAGGAGGCCACACCCCGAGCCTTTGACATAAAGGTCTGACCCACAAGGCAGTGGGGCATTGTAAGGAGATGCAGTCCCATGGTAGCCGGTGACCAACGATTGGGTCATACGCCATTTGTTCCTTCAGGATACTGGAGCCCATGTTCACCATTGGTTTGGAATCCGGATAAAGCGCCGGACATTCGCTTTTCGTCCTCTCATTTTCGTAAACATCACCCCCGCCACGAGAAGGTAGTGAGTAGGACTCCCCTGGCAGAGGCTGTATACTCTTGGCCGTGTGAGAGCATTTCAAGAGGGAGGCTTGGCCCACCCCACCCTCGGCCATACTAGGGCATTTAGGGGCTTCATAAATTTCTCATCTTACCATTGATTTATTGGAAGATTCTCTCTTATACTAATCATATGCCTATTGTGACCTTATTATGAACTATAGAAAACAATAAACTATTTTATTTTTTTCGTCTCACAAACTATACTATACTATAGCTTCCTTGTACTACTAAGGAAAGCTAGAAAATATACATATTTACTCTCATTACTTGTTATCTGTTAAGAAATTCATCATTCCGTTCCGATTTTTTCCAGAGTAAACTTCGATAACAGTATTGTTTGTGTGCATTCAGTTAATCTTATGATAAAAAAATTAATTTCTCGTCATAAAAATGTACAGCTGTTTAATTTTAGATTAGTAAGTTGACGTGTATAGCTTATAAATTCTCATGACATCACCGCTATTTACCGATTTCAGGCATTGATATGGAAAGTATTATAGGGCTACTGCTAAGTCGGTTCGTAAAGACGAAAAGACTGGATAGTTTACAAATGATTGATTTGTGGGTAGGGACTAATGTTGTGTATGTCAGGTCCTTCATAGTGCTAACGGGATCCTATCGATTAGGTTGCAATATGCCTACTACTCTAGATGACTTGACATCACATGCACTATGCTGAGATATATTGTAGTAGTTGTAGGTAGGGGGCATCAGTTCTCTCAAGATTACAGATACACCTTACTGATGAGTGCCAAAACCTAGGTTCTGGCATCCTAAGATAAGAGTCGATGACCTCCAACCACCACCTGATATCTCAACGTAGTGCACGTGATGTCAAGTCATCTAGAGTAGTAGGCATATTGCAACTCAATCGATAGAATTAGTTTCGCACTAAGGTGGACCTCATATATATGACATTAGTATCTACCCAGAAATCGACCGATTTTAAGTACATCTCGGTCCTACAGGTCAGTCCCTGTCTAGATACCTAGATAACGTTTCTGACTATCATGCTGGATGACACGCCAAATAACACAAAACCTACGTCTGCAGAGTTTTCTGTCGACTCCTTTGAACCACTACCCTACAAGATTGAATCGCTGTTTCATGCTAACTTGGTACACTTTATTAAAACCCTGAGTCAACAAAGTATATTTAGACCACTGACTCCAAATGTGGCGGTCCGCATTTCTAATTTAGGCACATCTTTGAAAATTGAATTATGAGAAAACTGTCCAATACTCCCTAGGTCTCAACAATTTTCCAACTGATATTAGTTCACCACGAAAGTTAAATTTAAAACGTAATAATCTTCATAATAAACCTGTTGTAGTAAAATAGATTATCATTATTAGAATAGAAACATTCTGTTTGAATGAAATTTTAATTTATTCAGCTTTTATATGATTGGTTTCACAGTTTTTTGTAAAATCAAACTATCGAATAAAATATTAGTGCAATGAACAAAATGAAAGTATGCACTAGCAAAATGAAAGACTATAAGTTGATAGTGCTGGTTCGCACGTGAAACCGAAGGTGCTAGACTCAATTTCCATATACGGAGTCGTGTGTGTACATTGCTGAGGAGCCCCGTACTGGGATAAAACGACTATCTATTCCTTCCAAATTTTAATGGGGGTAATCAAACATATAGATTGCTTCACTTATCGTGCGAATTTTATCAGCCCTGAAAGGCTGGTGTTTGACGAAATTTCCTCACAGATTCAGACAGCTCAATTAACCTCTGTCAGCTTGCGTCACTTGCAGTGTAGGTAAGATATCCATTTATCACCCAAAGGACGAGCTTACTACACAGCAGTTCGCTCTGTTATACCTCACTCATGGATATGAAGAATGGCCATCAAGAATAAAGGATATTTATAAGTTCCTAATATTCGATCAAAGGTGTCTTCGAAGCACATTCCTCGTGTATTTTGTAACCATCTAATGAGGATTGGTGGGGTTAGGAACTTCAAACTGTCGACATACCTATTCATATATATGCCAGCAACTGGTTCAGTGGAAGGAATGAAAGATGAATTTTTTGTGGATTTTTATTGGTATTTACAAAAAGATTGTTCATCACAGTCCTGAAGTGTCTTTGATGAACGTAGGACACAGTATTAAAGTTTCATATTTTTTGACAACACTTTTAAAAGAAAATTCCGGATCTATATTACTTTGGAGGAGGCCTTAGCCTCCTGTGGGTTACTTACAGACTTCATAGTCGGTCACTTTCGGTCACTATCAACTTTGTATCAATTATTTATTTTCGGTTCATTGTTTCTTACCATTGTTGATAACCTATTTTCCTGTGTCACCTAAAATTTTACAATGCCCAGTAATAAAACCTTAAGTGTCAACACCAAAACTGAAACTAGAATTCCAGAAATATGCTAGATTTGTCAACATTTCAAGTTCATTTCTTATTCACCCAAATATTTCATTAATATAAACCCTAACATCTAAGGTAATGAGATTTTGTTGTTTCTCAAATGTACTAAAATTCCATATAATAATGACGCACTTGCCATTATTTAATAAATATGTTCTTTCTAAATTGACTACTTTTCTAGTATCTAAAAATTCGATTTTGATCTTTCATGATCTTTCATTCTGTTTTCGATTTTCTTCTAATTAAGTTCACGATTGCGTTTTTTTCGGTTGATGTTTGTGTGTTATCACAATTATTATTGAGTAGTCTGTTAAAATAAACTCTGTGATTTCTGTCAGATGTACTACTTACAGCTTAGATAATCTGTTATCACTTGGTGATCATCTGTATTTATGCATTTTTATTTCATTCCTTACCGTCTAAGTGTTCGTTTATTAGTATACGATGTTTGTGGAAATGATTGAATGTTTTTAGTTTGCATCACAGACTAACCTCAACGCGATATGCTGAGTTCGACCGCTAGTGAGGTCGTGGATGGACACTGTTGAGAGATCTCACACTGAGATGAGACCATCATTAAATGCTTCCTGGTTTTTGGTGGTCATCTTACTTAGGTCATTTCATGATGTAAATCATAAATTTCATTCTCCTAGATGAAACGATCATTAAAAGGCTGGAAGCATTGACTAGTTGTTGCGTCCTAGTATGGATTTTCTTAGGAGTGTACATCCACGGCCTCGCCGAGTTTCAGACCCAGGACCTTTGATCCTCGCTAGTGGGAGCTATACTTTTAAGCCACTGAACCAGCATTCAGTGGTTTATATGCTTAACTTCAGTCATTTGACTGTATTTCACGACCATCTCTCACTGTTTTTGGTGGGTACTTCCCTGACATTCGACAAATTTGAAATCCATTGGTCACTAATTCCCTCTAATCGCGAGATCTGAACGTCCTAGGTTTGATTCTTGGTGAGATTGTGGATTTACGCTGCTGAGGAGTCAAACACTAGCACGAAACAATTGTCAAGTTTTGAATATTTGTTCAAATTATGTTGATTAGTTTTTTCTTCTTAATTTTAGCGTTTCTTTGTTCTATTTATGTTGTTAGTTGAACTCATTCCATCTTAGCTCTCGTCAATCTGCTTTTTATGTTATGATTAACATTTTTATTATATAATTTTTACCAACTCAATAACAGTGGGTTATAAAGTAATCGACTAAATTACTATCTAGATGTAAACCTCATTATTTGATATAAACATTGTCTTTTTATTATCCTAAAGTGTATTGTATTATTCGAAAATCTTATTATACTCTGGCTGAAACTCAATTAAAAGTATGATTTGAAAAGTTAGTCATACGCAACGTAGAACCTGTCTCATGTGTGCATCATCGGTCCCGGTTTCCACACTATATCAACATAATGAGATGAAACTATCAAGACAAATGCCAGAGTAGTAGAAGTAGTAAAATTAACAATAGCAACAGAAGAGATGAAAAATAAACGATTTCATTTAAGTGGAAGTAATCGATTTGCGGAATAAAACTTAAAAAATTATTTCGAAACTCCAGAATCTAAGGGAGAACTATGATAGGAGGGATTTGGGTTATTGTGAACGATTATGAGCCGTGCTACCTAATTGGTCAAGATAATCGCAAAAACATGAACCATGTAATCTGCACTTACCAATATACGGTTCAGTCCATCATTCAGTTTCTTTATGGACTGACGCCACCTCTACATGAATAAGGAATATTTAATTAAAATTCACAGTTTATTATAGATGACTTTATTCCAGCTTTCACTGTTTATCACTGCCAATTTTTCTTGACTGGTTTTCTCAAGTTAATTAATTAATGGGTAATAATAATACAATAGTATACATAGGTTATAACTTATATAAATATATTTATATATTTTTCTTGCATCCAAAGTATCGACGAAGCTCGATTCCCTGTTCAGTTAGATTTGGCTATTCACGTATTACAAACTGGTGAAGTGAGTTGAAATAATTGTAATTTTTTTCCCATTGAACGATTTTCATCATTTAGTTTGAGTAATTGTTTTCTTTTGTCTCAGTTAATGTCAACAACACGAACAATGAAATTATTAATAAAATAATATTGTGAAGATTATGTTTAACTTGGTAGTTGTTTTCATCTCAGTAAATGACATCAACTGGAGAACTATCCTAAACCGTGTAGCCCTAGTAAAATTTTCGACTAAGTTTCCGGATTTAGTTGTTGGATTATGAGAGTTCATGGGGAGGATAATACCTTCAAACTATTTAGTTACAATCCAATAGTTTAGATATTCAATTGTACTGTTTTTGTGATACGGTGCAACACTTGTTTAATATCATGAATAAGCTGGTACTTTATTCTCAAGTTGGCTTGTTTCTTTTGTCATAGCTACTGACTAGAATATCTCGAAATGGATCTCAGAGCTAGTCACCAATAAGCGTAATGTTTGTGTTGAGATTGTGTACAATTTAAAAGTGATTCTCACCACGAGGGTGTTGCTTACGAAATTGAGATAACGAGAAGCAAATATCTGACGATTTAACTGGGTTGGTGAGTATGGAGGATTCGCTGAGGGGAATTTGAAAACCCTGATTCCAAACTATTATTGTACATGTGTTCCAGAATCGTGAGGAAGCAAATGGTGTATGGACCTATCGTTGGTTACCGGCCGCCATGAGATCACACCTCCTAACGTTACTCCACTGTCTTGTGGATTAAACCTCTATGTCAAAGGCTCCAGGAATGGTCCTGTAAGGAGATCACCTGCTTAGGTTTCAGCACCCGGACAGTGTTCCAGCCCATACACAAAATTGAATGATAACTACTTTGTGCGGTGCACATATATTTGTTGCCTCCTTGTACCATTGTCTATGTGTTTAAATAGATAAATACACTTTCCGAATTGAACGAAACGCGCATCCTGGATTCCACTGCTTGCTACACTCTATCTGCTCTATATTGAAAATAGCTCTTTTGTTCGAGATTGAAGATACATATTTTTAACGAATTACACCTTAATTCAAAAGCTTCCTGCAGGTTACCTCTAAACACACTACTACTACTACTACCATACAATCTAATAAATGATACAATCGATTTTTCAAAAACAGGTAATCTTTAACAATTTTTCTACTCAGTTAACATTCTGTAAAATTCTATATCCGGTGACCGGTTATTAAACTTAAATTTGCTGATGTTGTACTTAATTTTTATTCTATCAGTGTTCAATGTTTTATGTAGTGTAATGTCTAAATGCAGTAATCTCCAGTTTCACTGTCATTATTTCTGTTATTCTTATTATTGTTAGGAAAACAACAATAATTAACACAAATCATTCCAATTATGAACATATTAATTTTTTCTCTCCTAGTTATATTGCTTCATGTTCTCCCTATAATATATTCTCTCTCAGTTTTGATTCTCTATCCCTATCCAAGTTACATTGCATTTTACAGTCAAAGTTTAACAACAAATCTGATCAAGGTGCACTGTTGATGATTGATGGAATGGAATCAGTAGTAGTAGTAGTAGTTCAATGAATATCATCATCACAGTCGCATAATAACATTGATAATAATTGTAGTTCCATTTTTATCGTCAATCTGCTTCGAGTTCCACTCTTACGCCAATATATGTATCTGTATACTTATTTCTATGTTTGTCGATTCTCTTCTATGCTTTATTGTTTATTTGTATAAATATGTTTGTACATGTATATGTGTGTATTTGTGTTTTTTTATTTCCTAATTTAGTCTCTTCATGTCAATATAAATGGTACCACTACTAGTTCGAATAATAATAACAATAATACTAATAATAATGAATATAGGAAAATTGACAAAACGGTAAGTCTCTATCATAAAAAATACCAATCTTTGTTAGGGTTATTCCTCCTTGTTTACTTCAACTTGCTAGTTGATATTAATTATAGATATAATGATGATGATGACTGATAATGGTTATCCATCATCATCTGATTTTGACCTGCTTGATTGAGTTGGTTTTTTGTAATATAAATATACAGAGAAGAGAGTAAGATAATGTTTTTTTGTTTTCCTTTTAAATGGAATATTGAGAGAAGAATTGTTGACTTTTATTTATTTGGAAGATGATAAACAGAGATCAAACTATTTGACAATATGGCTACTTGTTGGTGTGTACGGGTGGAGATTATTGGATTTTTGTAGTTGACATCATGAACTGACTTCAAAAGGCAACCATTGGAAACCAGGTAGCATTGGATATCGATGACCGGTAAACTTCAACCATTTCAGGTCTGGGACAGTTGCTCATTGATGGAAATAGAAGATGACTATACAATATTACGAGTTGGTCTAGAGGTTAAGTGCTCACGCGCAAGGCTTCAGGTAGTTGGTTCGTAAATGTGTACTGCTGAGAAATCCTACGCTGGCTTTCAAAGTTTGTGTAACTACAATCAGTTCGTAATGTAAACTGTAAAATTCAACAGTCTCATTCATAGGATTATATAATATTCTACTATTTCACAACCGTCTTTCCTCACATCTGTTGTCGTTTTCTCTTTTCCTTCCCTCAAAACTATACCAAACAACATATGCAATAAATTAGCTTGAAGAAGATTTAGATCCAGTTTGGAGAAGTCGTTCTGTTCTCTGTATGCCAATTAAACATTCCGATGGTAAAGTATTAGCTGTATGCATAATAACAAATAAATCAACTGTTGATTTGAGAATCAATAATAATAATTTCAGTCAACAAGTTAAGCATCAATTCGATTTCAAACCAGTTACAGATAGCATTCAATATTCATCAAATGATAATTTATCATCTAAAGAACCCATTACGATGTCTTCATCAATTAACAATTGGTCTGGAATATTTACTTATTCGGATGAATTTTTATTTGAAGCATTTGCTTTATTTGTTGGTTTGGGTATTTCAAATAGTCAACTGTATGAAAGAGCTATAAGAAGTGCGGCAAAACAAAAAGTTATCATGGATGTTCTGTCCTATCATGCTACAGCGCCGACATCTGAGGCTAAACGCCTAGCTACATCACTAATACCGACTATGAGATTTTATCATTTAGATAAATTTTCATTTACTGATGTACGGTAGGTTGTTGATACATTTTTTTTCAGAACTATTTCTATCTTTTAGGGATTATGGAGTTTGTTTAGTTTCATTGAAATCACGAACCGATCAGTGTTAGACCACCATTGAAAACCTGGAATCACTGGACGGCCGTTTCGTCCTAATCTGAGAGTCAGTTGTGTGTATCCGCGATCCCGCACGTAGACCTCGAACCTACGTCCTTTACGCGAATGCTTAGCTTCGCGATCACTGAGCCGGAACCCAACTGTATTGATGTCTAACTTCAATCAGTCTATGATCTTGCTCAACCCTTGATCTATTGCCTGAGGCGGATAACTATATCGCCTCCAACGTCGATCGGACTCCACTGGTCATGGCTTTTTTTATTGAACAAGCCTATTGACATCGTATCAACTATTTCAATAACGCAAAACCTCGGAAGGGATAAAAAAAGTCTGTGAAGTAAAATAGACTGGCAGCTCATCAATTGGAGATGTCTGCATTCTGATGTGAACTGACAAACATTTATCTTTCTGACTGTTCAATATATGATTTGCTTTCCTATGTTTGGTTTCTATTCTGCTCCCATTGAGTGTAGACCGTTTATAAGCGTGCTAGATTAAGTATTCCCTTGCCTAACCTCTGATTATTTATATTTAGTCATATATCGTGTATCTGATTCAACGTGATCCAGTTCGTTTATGGCGTTTTGATCGAGTATCCAGTCTTGTGTTAGAATAATCTGAGACTGAGGTCGTGTTATCATATTACAGTAGTAGTATACCGTGAAAACAAAAATATTTTTATGCAGCTGTCCTATCATGTTGATGTTCGCGCTAAAACTGTTGCGCGGTACCTTACGTTTTAGACACCCAGTACGTTATTTACTGACCTACGGAGTCCAGATAGTCATTCTCTTGTGAAACAGGTATGAATGCGATGGTTTTGATTTTACGAATCTGAGTTTCATATGCATTGACGCTACATTAAGAATGATATTCATTTTCAACTTCATCAATGTGATATATGTCTGCCATAACTGTTCATGTAAAGATCGTTGGTCAGGATCCTTTACTTTATTTTACTTTCAGATTTCTATCAATCTTCAGGAAATGTTTTACATGTAATAAGCTCATGTCCTCAATGTTATTCAAATATTGGATAAATTAAATGTTTTCGATAGTGTTGATGCTGTATTTAAAACAATTTCCATTGTGTTCTTTGTCAATTAGTTGTTAGCTATAATCTTACAATCCACTCATTTTTACAAGTATATACTTCATGAAGGGATTAAATACCCAACAAATTGTAGTATCTGCTGATTCATAACTAGTCTTGTAATTGCTTTTAAACTGAGGTGGTAATATTCTTTGACCAAACTTGAACGGTCTTTAATCAATTACTGATTATGTTTAAGTCCTACCAGAATGACTTCTCAATTTATTTTGAAAATGCTCTCAAAAATAATTGTGTATATGTACATTATCATGGAGGAAACCAGTTTTGAATCAAAGTTAGACTCAGTATATTTTTTTTACGAGTTATCATTACTTGGAGAACCATTGAGAACTGATTTATCTTATAATTGTTTTCTTCCCATTCGAGATTTCTCATATCGGTGCATCCGCCAACTTATACGGGATCGACCTGCAGATGTAGGAGCCTTAAAGCGAGTACGACACGTATAAACCGTCCAATACAATTCTAATTTTTATTGACCATAGTTCATTATTCAAATTATTTTCATATTCTGAAATTTTCCCAAAATCGACTTTGTAGTGTATTGTCGCATTGTTTTAATATCTTCCTGAATTATAAACACAATGAATACTACCATCTCTAAGAACAGAATATTTCAATGGTTTTTAGATTAGATATTGTAACTTATATTTATTAAAAAAATACTTTTATTGTTTCACTGCTTTTTTAATTTAAAAAAAAACGAAATATATAGATTATCAGATGAAGATACTCTGAAAGCATGTATACGAATGTTTCAGGAAATGAATTTTATGAAATCAATACATTTCGATCAGTTATCATTTGCTCGTTGGCTATTATCTGTACGTAAAAATTATCGTGAAGTTACTTATCACAATTGGCGTCATGCATTCAATGTGACTCAGACAATGTTTTGCATATTACTAGTAAGTAATACATGCTTATTCTTATACTCTATGTCATAAATTTACTTTACACATGTATTTATACACATGTGTTCGGTTTTTATGTATGTATGCATATTTTATATGTATCCAAGCAGATGTCTTAAGTTTGTATGCTTGTTTTTACATGTTCATATGTGGGTCATTTTCTTCAAAAATAATTTTCTCTGGCGTCTTTTCCCATCTTTATTCCAATTTTCTTTCGTAGATAAAGTATCATTTTAGCGTTTTCAGTGGACTGATTTAAGTTTTAGAGTAACACATGCGTTAACAACTAGTTTGTATTTGTGAAGCGATAACACAATGCTTAGTTTGCTTAACTTTCAATCTCAAAGTTACCAGTTCAAAATCAGCTTCAGCAAATTCAATGTAGTATCACTAGCACTCACACCTAATTTCTGGCTCTAAGACAAGTACATAAATCTATATCCCTGGTAATATTTTGATAATGATCAGATCTGCGAAAAACTCCATACTTAAAAACTGATACAAGATTTAATCTTTGAACTACAATCAAACTCCCATTCTGATAATACTAATCATGTGCTCACTAGTAAATGGCTTCAAGATATATTTCCTGAAGTTCTCATGAGAAGCTGTGACCAGTGGAGTTCAACCGTGTTTGTTGTGAGGCAGTTACTCACTGAAGACAATGGTTAGAGGTGGCGCGATTTCGTGTATTGATTGAAGTTAAACATTAACACTGTTGGATGCCGGCTACGTGGCCTAGAAGTTGGGCGTTTGCGCGCGAGGCCGATAGGCCCCTGGTTCGAGTCCCATGGGTGGGGTCGTCGGTGCACACTGCTGAGTCCCATATTAGGAAGAAATGACCGTCCAGTAACTCCATGTTTTCGATGGTGGTCTAGCTTAAATTGATTCATGAATTCAACTATTAAATTTGTTATATATTAATTAATTATCATTCAGTGTTGTTTATAAGCAATCGTCACCCTACTAGTTTTATGGTTTTTAAATGTATTCACCATCGATTATCTGTGGAGTCGGATACGTAACCTTCAAATTATGTATATATATTAGTTGTTCCAATATGAGAATTTCTTGTAAATGATTTCGTTTATAAAGAAAGGTTAATGTAGATCGGGCCATAAGTTACCCTTGTTGTTCCCAAGGTAACTCTTGTATCAAACTGTTTAAACACAGATAGATAAGACGACCTTGGGAAACGTGACATTTCTAAATAGAATAAGAATTTCAAACCTCTAAATCATTTGCTTTAAAATTTCTAAAGACACCTAATGTTGTTCGACCGATGAATGTTATATCTCATGTAGGCTATGTAAATTTTCATACAAAAACATTTTAAAAGTAGGTATTTTGATAGATAGAAATTGTGTTAACTAAAGTTTGAACACAATGACTGAATAGTGGTGTTTAAAAGCTCTTATCTCCCACAACATAACTTCGATTTGAAATTTCATGATTCCCATAGGGAGGCACAATATGGTGTTAATTCGAGAGCACTACGCGGCGTCAGTATTTATGGTTGAATCTTGGGGGATAGTCTCGTCGATGGGCCCCACTGTGTCTGCCCGGAGAAAATGGTGATCGCTTGAACCATGTCTGTAGCTCTACCATTCTATCTAAATCCATGACTCGCATCTGGATGTAGCACGCTCATCATATTATTTAGTGTGTGACACGTAGGCCGCAACGCTTTGGTGCGAGACGCCTCTGGCGACCGATATCCAGCAACCGTCACTCTTGGATGATAGCTAGGGTGCAAGTGTAATGACTAAAGGGTTCTGTAAAAAAGCTGTTATCCTGCATATTGCTTTGATTAATTTCTGATCACAGAATTTCTTTAATAAAATGTTCTAATACATATGGAATTGTCCTAAAAGGCGCAATACTCCATCGCTTTTAATAAATATGCTTAGTTCCTGTCATAAGCTATGAAATTTTGTAATCACTAGAAACTTATTGTACTAATTATTAGAGAATTTGCATCGGTTAACTCTAGCATCACCCAATATCAAACGAACTAAACTATGATGTTGAGTCACATAAATTAATGGTCACATTGCAAATCGATCATTAACACTCAATAAATACTAAAAACTAGACAATATGACATTGGTAACTATTCTTTGATTAGTTAGTATAAACGTGGATCTATTGTTTAAAGTTACTTTTGACGTTCAGGAAAGTTTGTACTCCATCTTGGCTCAGTCGATAATAATCTTAACGCTCAAAACGGTATTGTAGTTAACTGTAGCGCTCAACTGCGCTGCATTTTTCCATTTTCTCAAGGTCTAGAATGCTAATGTAAACATAAAGACTTTACTGTCTTTAGCCTATTGTTGGTAGTTGTCAACATAAAAAGCTAAACATATGTTCCGTAATATAGTTTGCGATTGTCATTAATATGTACTTGCAATCTTGGTGAAACTGATGCCTTCTGGAAGATTTAAACACGCGTCATCCAGCTTCACAGTTTGAGACGTTATCATTAGGCTACTTGCTTAGCGGCCGTACCCAGGTCCAAGGTTTCCTTACATCTCAAAATTCTGCATGCTCTGTCGAGTCATTTAGATTAGTGGTCTCATTACAACTTGATCGATAGAATTCGAGTAATACTAAAGGAGTAGGCAAACATGTCATTGATCATCACTTGGTGATCAATCACTTGTGTATTACTAAGAAAAATATTTTTGGAACTATCAAGCTGTGAACGACGAGTTCTACCTATTTTGTATCTTGTTCTTTTCACTATTCAATAAACATCGGATTTTCATTTCTTTCGAAATAGGTGATACAGGTAAATCACTTGATCGGAGCAAACTTTAGTCAAGTTAATGTTTCATTATTCACTATCATTGTTGTTTAACTATCTCAGTATGAATTTGATCATCTTCAGTTTGGGACATACTTATAATATTTAATTCACAATTTTGTGGAATTTCTTCACGAATTTAGATTTTCATCTTAATCTATCGAGAATTCTCCTGAGCAAACATCTTTTATTTTCCCTACAGGCAAAACAATTTTTTAATATTGCTGGTTCGTTATGTTTGGTTATTTTGAGTATTTTGCTCTCTTTACAAGGATATCGTAAAGTATATTTATGAACAACAAAACTTTATTTAAATCAATTTTCTTTCGGTGTTCTCAATGAATCTTTCAGAAAAAGATTTATTTTTCGGATTGGTAAGGGCTAAAATATTAATAAGAATAAATCTGTGTTTAGTGTTAAATTGAATTACATATGGACTTGTTTTGCTATATTATTAAGCCACATCAAATTCTATCTATTTATATCATGTTAGTATTTTAATCAGTAAAAGTTAGTTAATATGTTAAGTTTGTGAATATTGTTCAATCCGTGGTTAGTATACTCTATAGACTGATTTCAGCTAAACAACCATCTAAAACCAAGAAACATCAAATAGCTGTTTCATCTTAGAATCTGATTTCATGGTAGTGAGCACTTATGATATCACTAGAGATATAGCCTAAGGCATTTGAGTTGTCGTAATCAGGGCGTTAACTTGAGACCACTTAGTTGGCATCCCATTTCCCACTTTTTCAACTTCAACCCATAAACGATTTTGCGCTGCAATCATACAATATCATCGGTGAAATCCTTCATCATTGTTGAACTGCATCCGCTTTAATCTCTCATTAGAGTTCCAAGAATTATTGTCAAGCCTATTCGCTAGTGAGTCAATCACTTATTATTAAAGTAGTAGGACTGTGCATATTTTTCAATCTTTAGTACTCATTAAAGAAAGGCTTTAGTTAGACAGCTATTAAAACCCTGATAACTCCATATCACCATGTCGTTTCATCATGAATTGCTTTAATGTTCGTTCATTTAAAGTCAATTTATGATGTCAAATAACTTTACAATTTGAATTGTTACATTACCACTTATTATTATCTTTTTTCAAAACCATTTTAGATGATTACCAACACATTTAATAATCTAATTGTTCTAAGCGTGTATTTTTGTTTTCATCAAAATGAAAATAATTTCTTTCAATTACTTATTTTATTTCTAGCAATTCATTGTAAATGAAATTAGTGACGTTTATATATAAGCAAAATCTTTTTCTTTTCAACATTTTCTTTTTTAAGTTCTTTTCTTTTATGACCACTATTTATTTTTTACGTCATAAACAAAGTAAACTTTTAATTTAATTGTAATTCATCCACTTATATTATTTGATTATGGACAATATATATGTACGTCATAAATGTTTTATGAGTTGATAAAATATTGGACATCTTAAAACTATAAAGTTAAACTTCATTTTGTTAATTTATAGATTAATTAAAACTATAATCTATGGATAGATGATGCTCTGCTTAATCCTCTAAGTTAGCTTTTCATGTAAAAATGTATTTATTAATGTAGATTTCCCAGTTATGATCGCTCAATGAATAACACTTTGATTTTTGAAGCTAAATGCACATGATTCTTGAATCTTAGTGTTGAATATCAGCATTGGGATACAGTCACATTCAACTGACGAGTCATTAACAAAATAAAACACGTGTTTTGAATTCCACTATTACTTTATTCAAGTTTAATGAAAGCTTGTAGTTTTTTTTGTTTGGTTTCACATGAGGAAATCAAACAGACAATATTGTCTGTAATTGTAAAAATTAGTTTTTATATACCCTTTAACTCAGTACTCAATCATAATTGAAGTTATATTTAACAAGATTTAAAGACCTGAAGCGGACAAAATGTTTCATGAAAATTGTCAAGGTATCTTTTCAATGAACGCTTGTAAAAAATAAACTAATGTTAGGAAAGTTTTCTCGACTGCTCATCAATATTCAATAACATTTCTAAAATTAATTAACAGTATCATAACCATGAATTTCTTTAACACAACCATACTTATTGTATGTAATCACTGTAAAGATCCCTTTATGTTTCTTCATCGTTCCATGCATTCGTGTAAAAACAGTGAAAAGTAGACTATTAAATATAGTTGTTTTGTAGTATGTTACGTTGATTTTGAAGAATCGATGCCTATAGGCTGATTTCCATGGTAAAGTCAGCATGTGACTCCGTGGGGAGGGTCGCGTTATGTTTTTTTCAACTTTGGAACTAGGTGTATTGTATTTGTGCGTCAAAATTGTGATACGTAGTGTCGGTTGCTATGATAAGCTCACATAGCTTATTGTAGCTTCCGGACAAGCCAATTTACTCATCCATCTTGAGTCATATTTTGACCTTGTTAATTATTCGCTTATCAACCTTGACTGTTTTTATATGAGCGTATGCGTGTGCACTTCTTATCTTACTCATCACGTCTGTAGCTTAATTTTGTCTCACTGTAAATATCGATTCATGCTTGATCAATCTGAGTTGGCTCACAAGCCTTCCCCACTTGCGCGTCGTTTTGTGGTGTGTGCTATTAATGTCGACAGATATAATTTGTATATATCACCATTCGAAAGTGAAATGTCTGGTGGCAGAATGTTAAGAAGATCGAAGGAAAGAGAACGAGAACATAGAATGATTGGTGTGGAAACGAAGGAGCAATGAAGTTTGAGGCAATTTACTGATACTTTGCAAGTGAAGTATTTACTGTATGGTTCTCAGATTTTATTAAGAGATTCGGTAATTTTGTGTTCAGATACATTCGATTGTTCCCACTTGTGTTCTCCTTCACTACAATTTCACTCCGCTCCTTTCTCTTCGCTTTCTTTGCTTCGTTTCTTCTATCGTTTGTCTGGATTAGTGACTGTATAAAATACACGTGCTCGAAATCCATTCTCGTATATGACTTATTTAATTCCGATATTCACTAATGCGATATAAGTCGATAATTAAATACGAAGGTAGCCAGGATGTATATTTTGACAGCAATCTTGCAATAACAATCATGCATAGGACTTATCTGCAGTCAGATCTCGGGGCACTAAAGATAGGCTGGATCATTTTCTTCGAATTCGATAGATGTATTGAATTAAGTGTCTCCGATAAAATATTGATCCCATTTAAATCCTAATCTATTCGTTCGACTTGATAGGTTTTTAAGAGCGGTAGTATCAAGAATATTCAAGCATGGAAGTGTTAAGGATACATATATTTAAAACACTTGTATATCAGACCAACGAAATGAGATGTACGAAGATAGGTTGGTATTGAATAGATTGTGGAATCGATCAATCTATATGAATCATTGCATGAGCTTACACTAAGTCACAAAATAATTAAGTTACGTAATACACAAACATATGAATACTTATATCATTAGCCAATTTGTGACTGTATATGATCTCATGAAATTTTCACTACATGTGCTTATTTTGCATTGTTGGCTAGTAGATAAAATTTACTCATTAAATTCTTTAAATGCTAATTAGCATAGATATTCACTTAAACATTTTTCGTGACATCGGTATACTGGATTTTAATGTTTTGCTCATAGAATTTATGTATATTATTGTCAAGATGAATCTTTACGAAAAAAATATTAAATTCACCTGCTGATGATGCGTAGATGGATTGTTTAACTAAATGGACTATAAATATCATTTGCATCTCAGTATAGAGGGCAGGAAGTCAGATACTATGATCATTCGTGAAAATTCAGTTTTTTCTAATGTTTCAATGTATGATGAAGATATGAATGACGTTGTATTCAAGCGGCTAGTCCCTGTTTATAAAAGGGAACTAAGTAAAACTTTTATTGATATGTACTATTGGTTTTTTTTACAGCCATGTATATTTGTCACCTAGCTGGTTCTGTGAAAGTCTTCAAAAGTATATGAACTACTCCTCAAAGTGAAATATGTTCTTGAACATCTCCGACAAGAAGTTTCATTTTGTAATGGTTGTTCATACTGATGGGGTTGAAAACGAAAGGTATTGGGTTCAAGTCGTATAGTGGACATCAACGTAGGGATGCAAGTATACTCATCTGACGAGCAGATTCCACTGTCAGCCATATTCCATCCATTCTATGTAAATCTTCGTCAATATTTTGTTAAGGGTTAAAAAGGTTTTCAATACCATCATCTTCTGCTTGACCAGTATAATTTTTTTTGAAGTTTGTGACTGAAATTTCTCATTTCTTATTTTGTCTTTGATCAGTTTTTTCTTATACTTAATTTAGATTTAAGTTTAAGTCATTAAAATGTCAACATTACTGAATGCTTTTTTTCAATTGTTCACCGCATCATACAACACTTTCCTTTTTGTAATTGCGTCTAGATTAAATAGATCATTTTTAACTTACCTATGTATTATGTGCATTTACAAGTTTTTTTTCTTTTTTCGATTGCACTGCTGATCTAAGTTTCTATTTTTTTGTGAGTAAAAGCTGTAGCCTGTTTTGTGTTATAATTTAAGATAAATTGTAAACAGAATAAATCAAAATTAATTTTAGATTGAATTGATTGAGCCACTGCTTCTTATATGAAGTAGGCACCGAAAGATTTTTCTCAGAATCACAATGAAATCTCCTTAGTTATGTCACCTAACACCTACCATAACCATAGATAATAGTAAGTCTTAAGTGATACATAAATTTAGTTTGTATGAATTGAGTGGTATTTCCTTATTAATACTGATTAACTTTTGAATTATTTTACAGTTTACTGAACGGTATTCTGATGTCTTACTGTGAAAAAAGGGAAGGCGGAGGAGCACAGTGTATATGTTGGAAACATTCTGCTATCACAAATGTGTTATTGATTTCAATTAGCCTGAAGCATTGTTCAATGGTACTTCAAAATAAAATCAGTCGCGCACTGTCTATATTTAAAGACAATCTTCATAAAGATGAGAGAATGAAAAAGAATAATAAGGGAATTGATTAGCAACGTCTAAATCATTAATCAACCATGCAATGTTAACTTCAACTTCTCCCTCGCTACTTTCATATATATATATACTTATTATTAATACCAGTTATTGTTGAATGAAAGGTTTTGAATAAAAAAGGAAGAAAATCTGATCAATGTCTAGAAATATTTGTTGTTAAGTTTGTTTTTCTTTCCTTATATATATACATACATAGTTTGCGTGATTGACTGACTGTTCTAGCGTCAAAACATAATTTCTGTTTGAGTTATTTTTTTCTCAAAACGGAAAGAAGGGAGAAAGGCTCATTTCAAGCATAAAATATGACGTATATATACGTGTATAATTTGTTTTATTTAGTGAATTACGAGACTAATACTACTATTATTACTACTACCAATACTAATTATTATTATTATTTGGTATTATTGTCAATCATTGATTCATCTCATTTGTTTCTCCTCTGTTTTCTACCTCCTTCCTTTTCTGCATCGAACTGTCTTACCTTTTTTTCCTTTCAGAAAGGTGATTTTCAGTCAGTATTTACAGATCTTGAGTGTTTAGCGTTGTTAACTGCTTGTCTATCTCATGATATCGATCATCGTGGTACAGATAATCAGTTTCAAATTAAAACAATGTCTCCATTAGCTAAACTATATTCTACATCGGTTCTTGAACATCACCATTTCAATCAGTTCATGATGATACTAACCATAAAGGTTAGTCAATTAATTTTTCCAGTCCATGTTAATTTTTATGATATTATGTATCTGGAAATGCTTTCCCATTATAAATTGATATTAGCCGATGTATTATTGGAAATCAACGAGTACTGTATAACCGTAATAATGATATTTGTCAATAATATCTGCCGACGACTGCACACAAGGGAGAACTTCGCAAATGCAAAGCTTGTAGCGAGGAATATACCTTTATGACCAATCAGTCAATTAGTCAATGGTTCGAATCTGTCATCGATTCGTGGTAGAAGTCAGCGATCATGGAGTACCGTTGATTAATGTTTCACTTATGAAATGGTTGACTTTAAAGGTTATAGCTGATCCATACTGTAAAACCGCGTGGATTTCATCCGATCGCTTCCCATCTGTCAATTATGAAAATTATCTCCATGATAGTCAAAGTTTTATTTAAGTGCTCTTAACCAAAGACTTTTTTCTAACTTGTCATATTCTTGCTAGCTGTCACTGGCAGGACACATTAAAAGTCCTTTGCGTGTGTAAATTTGTTGCTGGAGAAAAAAGAATAATCTATTTACTTATTAGTGGGCTTTGTACATGATAACGCTATTCTGTTAGCACTGTTTAAACATATAAATCAATAAGATTAATCATTTTTATACTCGGTTTCCTAGTGAGTACCATTATAAAAGAATGAGTACACACTGTTACCGTTACATACGTTGGAATGTTATAAGTGGGTAAGTTGTAGGGAAAGCTGTAAGTTGCTTAAATATAGTCACAATTCGAATTGATCATTACATTTATTTAAGACGAGAAACTGCTGGTCACTTATTAAATTAAATAGTGGATTTTTATTCTGACCACTAATAACTGTCAACAAAATATTAAGAAAAGATTAAATAAATATCCTGTTACGAGCTTAACCAAATTATGGTTTAAATCCCTCTCGAATGTAGATTGACTTAAACTCTGTAAACGTATCAATAACAATAGTAGACGTCGATAGGAGTTAGTGATGATAGACAATTTGTCAAGAAGATGTGGCGATAAAATTGTTGTATATAACTTGACTATTACAGGTGAAGACAGACCATTATTTGATTCAAAGCCAGTTGGTTAAATAATGAAACAAACCTTTCGAAAAACATATGGTTTTGTTTCTATCTACCATTTAGTTATTTCATTATGTATTTTTATAGCTATGAATTGTGGTCTTTTGATTGTAATTCGATCATAAAGGCTTTTGACTTATTGTGTGTTTATGATGTAACCATCAAGTAGGCAGCTTTGATGTTACGAATAGAGTTCTAAGTAAATTTGGCAAGATTATTTGGTGATATTCTGAACGTCCACTGACTAAAGAAGTTAGTTGTGTTATAGATGTCCAGCAACTGTCTAATTTGACAGTTATTTATAGAGTAAGTTTAAATGACCCTAGATGTGGCTATTTAAGTACATGACTTGATTTCGTAAACTTATCTGTTGTTTATGTGAACCGTGTATATTGACAGGTGTAGACCGTTTGTTTGGTCCTATTAGGTGACCAAAGAAATGACTCGGAATTGACCACAGATATAGATCCATTTGGATCATATTTTATGTTGTTTATGATTAACCGATTTTCGTCTTTCTAAAATAGGTAACGATATAGTTGTGTAATGCAATATCTATATCCAAATACTCTATTATGAAGTAGATACCGAAGTGACTATTGTTCCATTCATAATGAAAATAGTTTTACAAATTTGCAGTAATTACAATCCTGTTGCATGATTTTTTTACTAGGGTAATAACTTTTTATGCAATCTAAACAGATCAGAATATGATACTGTTGTGAAATTAATTAGAGAAGCTATATTGGCTACAGATCTATCAAGATATTTTGCTAGACTACCGAAATTTCAACAAACTTTGCATAATTTGAAAGAAATTAATGATCACTCTACAAATTTATGGCGAAATGATCGCGAACAACGTTTATTACTTGGTTGTATGTTTATGACAGCTTGTGATGTTTCAGCCATAACAAAACCATGGCCAGTACAAAAATTGGTAAGTGTATATATTGTGTGTGTATACTTTTAATTCTTGTCATGTTGAAGTAATCAATTAATTTTGAAAATGTTTACTGTTATAATAGCTAGATAGCTCTTACTGTCTTCGTCATTTTAATATCCGATTCTGATCCGTGTGATGACGATGAATATAATCTAGTTTCACCTAATCTTAATTTGTAAATTCATTCTAAATGTGCTAATGTTTACTTCGAAATTCCTAAACACATTACTAGTTTAGAAACTATGTACCTGTTCTCTTTTTACATTTCATAAAATTAGGTTAGAAATAGCTATTCAGCCGCGCTTTTAGCTAAGTATTTGTTTACTCATCATTAATTCCTTTCGATATGTACTGTCTTATTTTCCACTGCGACGCTCTAATGAATAAAACCAACTATGTTGACAGTAGAAGAGGATGGCACTATGTGGCAATTAGAAGTTGAATATCTTCATCAATTGATCCTGATTCATTAGAAATGATTATGAGTACAACTGTACGTAGGATCGGTAATTTTTACCGAGAAATTTAAAACATATATATACATATATGCAAGTTGGTCACTATGCAATATTCACTGTTATAGTTCTATTCATATTTTATCTATCAGTTTATCGATATGATCTTTGGATTAGATAGCTTGACATAACATTTCACGTTTAGTTTCATTCTAGATAGTGGAGGGAATTAGCACGTAGTTCCACATCTAAAGTTCATATTAATTTGAATCTCCTAACAAATATCAATTCACTGAGTCTTCCAAATATACTCTTTTAACTATGGTCCAACTAGTAATCAACTTTACATATAAACTTTCATTTTCCATTCTACCTTTAACCGTCTTATATATCGTATTTTTTTCCTCTTAATATTATTCCTATGATGTTTTGTATTGTTTTCATTTTGATTAATAAACAGACAGCTGAAATGGTTGCCAATGAATTTTTTGAACAAGGTGATTTGGAAAAAGAACGACTGAACGTAACACCAGCTGTAAGTTGTATTTGTCGTTTGTTTCTTTTTGTACTTCATGAAAAACGTTTTTCTCTTCACTTACTCTCCGCTTTTATCAATATTGTTCCGGACAAAAAATCTAAGTTAATTGTCTACTAGTCATAATTTAGTGATATGATTTCTGAAAAGAATGACAATGAGATCTTTTACTTTTCTATCCAAATATTAATATTTTCTAATGACTTTCAAGAGGAATTTTAATCCGGTCAATGGTCGCACAATATCGTGGATTGTTTGAATTTATACATTCATACCTTTGGATGCCGTCTCAGTCATCTAGGGGTTAAGAATGATAATCATTTGGTTCGTTTTTCTTGTGCACGGTCATGAATGCACACTTCTTAGTAGTCCCATACTAAGACTAAACGGCCTTCTAGTGTTTTCAGGTTTTTAATGGTTGTCTAATACTGATCATTAAAAATTACAAACACGAAGTTCAGCGGAGGGATCTCTTTTCAACGAATTAATTATCAAGCTGTACAATCGTATATAGATAGAATTTTTTGTTAAAGTACTAATTTCATGAAGAAATGTGAGCACAAATAACCAAGATAATGTAACAGGAAGATTATAATACGTACGTAATACGAATAATGACAATAGATTTAGTGAATGTAATAAGGTGATTAAAATGATTAAAAGTTTTTTGTCACAATAATTAAAGGTCATAGAGGTATAAAAATAAATAAGGTGATATGATGAGTATTTATGATTAAAATAATGAGAATATAAGACTTAAGTAAAGGGGAATGCAGTAATAATAATGATTAAATAATAATAATATTAATTAAGGTCAAGGTAACGCTAACGGTAAGACGTACTTCTTTTGTGCGCATATTTCTGATTTGATCTCATGGATGGTAAAAGGTTCGGCTATTTTTAGGAGTTGAACGAATCATATTAACAACCTTAAAATCAAACTGTGGATCCGTAGAATGTTTACAGTCGATTAGGTGTTCAAGTATAGAACTCCTAACTGCTTTGATAACGATTGTACACTTACTTACTTACTTACTTACGCCTGTTACTCCCAATGGAGCATAGGCCGCTGACCAGCATTCTCCAACCCACTCTGTCCTGGGCCTTCTTTTCTAGTTCCATCCAATTCTTGTTCATTTTTCTCATGTCTATTTCCATTTCTCGGCGTAATGTGTTCTTTGGTCTTCCTCTTTTCCTTTGGAAGTGAGGATTCCATGTGAGGGCTTGTCTTGTGACGCAGTTGGGTGCTTTCCTCAATGTGTGTCCTATCCACTTCCAGCGCTTCTTCCTGATTTCTTCCTCCGCTGGGATCTGGTTTGTTCTCTCCCACAGTACGTTGTTGCTAATAGTGTCCGGCCAACGGATCTGAAGTATTTTGCGTAGACAACTGTTAATAAACACCTGTATTTTCTGGATGATGGCTTTCGTAGTTCTCCAGGTTTCTGCCCCATACAGTAGAACTGTCTTGACATTTGTATTGAAAATCCTGACCTTGGTGTTGGTTGACAGTTGCTTTGAGTTCCAGATGTTCCTCAGTTGTAAATATGCTGCTCTTGCTTTGCCGATCCGCGCCTTCACATCTGCATCAGATCCACCCTGTTCATCAATGATGCTGCCCAAATACGTAAAGGTTTTTACATCTTCCAAATCTTCTCCGTCAATTGTGATTGGATTGGTGCATTCTGTGTTGTATCGGAGAATCCTGCTTTTCCCTTTGTGTATATTGAGACCTACTGCTGCTGAGGCTGCTGCCACACTGGTCGTCTTCTCCTGCATCTGTTGTTGCGTTTGGGATAGAAGGGCCAGATCATCTGCGAAGTCTAGATCGTCCAACTGCATCCTAGATGTCCATTGTATCCCGTGCTTCCCTTCAGACGTTGACGTCTTCATGATCCAGTCGATCACCAGGAGAAAGAGAAAGGGTGAGAGTAAGCAACCTTGCCTGACACCGGTCTTTACTTCGAACGACTTTGTCAACTGTCCTCCATGCACGATTTTGCAGTTTAATCCATCATATGAATTCTGTATGATATTGACTATCTTCTGAGGCACGCCGTAGTGTCGAAGAAGTTTCCATAGTGTTGTTCTGTCCACGCTATCAAATGCCTTTTCGTAGTCAATGAAGTTGATGTAGAGTGATGAATTCCATTCAATTGATTGTTCCACAATGATCCGTAGAGTTGCGATTTGGTCTGTACACGATCTATCCTTACGGAATCCTGCCTGTTGGTCACGAAGTTGGGCGTCTACGCAGTCCTTCATCCTGTTTAACAATACCCTGTTGAAGACTTTTCCCGGTATTGAGAGAAGAGTGATGCCCCTGTAGTTATCACAGTTGCTGAGATCGCCTTTCTTCGGTATTTTGATCAGAAGTCCTTCTTTCCAGTCTTTTGGTACTTGTTCCTCATCCCAAATCTTATTGAAGAGAATGTGGAGTATCCTTGCAGTTGCCGCTACGTCTGCTTTTAGTGCCTCTGCTGGATGTTGTCCGGTCCTGCTGCTTTGCCACTCTTGATTTGTCTGATGGCCATGCTGATTTCTTCAATTGTTGGTGGGCCAACATTGATTGGGAGGTCCGTGGGTGCTGCTTCGATGTTGGGTGGGTTCAGTGGAGCTGGTCGATTCAAGAGTTCTTTGAAGTGTTCTACCCACCTGTTTTGTTGCTCTTCAATGTTGGTGATTACCTCGCCTTCCTTGCTTTTCACTGGTCGTTCTGGTTTGCGGCGATTTCCAGAGAGTTTCTTTGTCGTGTCATACAATTGTCTCATGTTTCCTTCTCTTGCAGCCTTTTCCGCCGTCGTTGCTAAATCTTCCACATATTTACGTTTGTCGGTTCTGATGCTCCTCTTCACTTGTTTGTTTACTTCTGTGTATTCAGCTTGTGCCTTGGCTTTTTCTGCTCTTGTTCGACTGGTATTGATTGCTGCCTTCTTGTTCCTCCTTTCTTGAATCTTATCCAGTGTATCAACAGTGATCCATTCCTTGTGATGGTGCTTCTTGTGACCCAGGACCTCATGACATGTTGAAGTGATTGCCTCTTTGATCCCCTTCCAGTTGCTCTCCACAGTAGTTCCTTCTCCATTGAGTAGATCATGAAAGGCCTGGAACTTGTTGCTGAGGACTATCTTGAATTTGTTGAGTTTGTTAGTATCCTGAAGAAAGGCCGTATTGAACTTTTGTGATATTGTCCGCCCCGTTGTCCAGTGCTTCTTGAGTTTCAATTTCATCTTGGCGACCAGCAAGTGATGATCTGATGCTATATCAGCTCCTCTCTTGGTTCTCACGTCCTCTATAGTCCTCCTGAACGTTTTGTTGATGCAAATATGGTCGATTTGGTTTTGTGTATAGTGATCCGGTGAAGTCCATGTGGTTTTGTGTATGCGTTTATGTGGGAATATGGTGCCGCCTATGACCAGCTTATTGAAGGCACATAGATTTGCAAATCTCTCACCATTTTCGTTTCTTTCTCCCAGTCCGTGTCGTCCCATGATGTCTTCATATCCAGTGTTGTCCGTTCCAACCTTGGCGTTGAAATCTCCCATCAGAATAGTCAGGTCCTTTGTTGGGCACTTCTCGACGATTGACTGCAGCCTATTGTAGAATTGATCTTTAGCGTCTTCATTGTAGTCGTTGGTAGGCGCATAGCATTGGATGATGTTCATTGAAATGCCCTCTTTCTTTGTTTTGAACGAGGCTTTGATGATCCTTGGTCCATGAGATTCCCATCCTATAAGCGCATTTTGCGCTTGTTTGGACAGCATCAATGCAACTCCTTGTGTATGTGGTGCATTTTCATCTTCATGGCCGGAGTATAACAGGAGCTCTCCTGTAGTTAGTCGTTGTTGTCCAACTTGTGTCCAATGTGTTTCACTGATCCCAAGTACCTCTAGGTTGTATCTTCTCATTTCTGCAGCAATTTGGAAGGCTCTCCCGGTGTCCCACATTGTACGAACATTCCATGTACCTAAATAAATGGTCGCTCTGGTTGTCAGAAGGGGCATCGGCCTCGTAACTTCCGAAGGAATTCGGCTTTCATCATGAGGCGTCATAATTCTTCTAAATGAAGACCTTCTGACTCCCAGGGCAGAGTTTAAAAGGTTTGAATAATTTTTTCTGGTTAGCGTTTTTTTAGCGAGTTAGTTTTCTACGGGATGGGGACGCTAACCCCATGCCCAACCCTCCTCCTTTATCCGGGCTTGGGACCGGCAGTAGCCCCCGGAGGGACTCCAGGCGGAGTTCACGATTGTACAGCTTGATAATAAATTCGTTGAAAAGAGATCCCTTCTCTGAACTTCGTGTTTTTAATTTTTGATGTTTAAATGGGAATTGTCTGTCAAGAAACTAAGCAATTCATGATTTTGATGAAATTCAATAATCTTTACAATTTCATATAAATTGAGCATTGGGTAGAAAGTTAATGATAAATGTAATTTTGCTATATCCCAATGAGTGAAAAAATTATATTTCTGACATTTCCCTGATTTTTAATGGTTGTCTAAATAAACTCAGACGTTGACTTAAACTATAAAGTTTATCAATCTCGACATTCTAATATTCTAATACGCCAAAAGTCTGTATGGTTATGATATTGGTATCATTAATATTTAAATTTGAGCTACATCACCTTAAGATAACAACATTGCACCAACCTTTGTTCTTGCTCTCTTTAAAAAATTATGTTTAAATGTTACTTTTTGAGGATCGTTGAGATTTTTTTCGATAGTAATCGTCAATATCTTGTCCATTAAATTTCACGGAAAATGTTTTCACTGGCTATGTAAAAAGTAAACACGAAATCTTTCGTCAACAATTTGTATGTAAATAATACCTTCAGTGTATGTGGAGTTAACTGGTATAGTAAAATTTCTGTTTACTACTGCCGCAATCGTTTTCTTTCTGTGTGAGTTGTAACGACCGAATAAGAATTAATTCTTGGTGTAACAAATAGTTTATCATTTTTAGTTAATCTTTAGGAATCATATATCACTTATGCTTGTGGAAAATGCCGAGTGGAGCGGTAGCCAACTGATTAAACTGTTCACATTTTGGTCACTAGTATCCATTTTCAACCTTTACGCCACCTACTTTAGTTTAGGCAATAAAATAATATCACTAATTCTTACAAGTTTAATTTAGCTTGAAACCAAGTACACGAATCTGTACCTTGTAAATAAATTATTTTTATGATGACATGAAGTTAATGAAGTCTTGTTGAGGATAACCTTTTTATTGTTTAACGTAAAATTACACAGTGGATAAAAATCATACATCAAACACATCATTCGCACAACTATCTTCAGTTGTTCTTTACATATTCCATTATTCCCCTAATTCTGTTGTTATTTCGATTTCTCTCGAATTTCTTTCCTGTTATCTTCATTGGGATCCTCTGCTCCCAGGCACTTCTATCGGTGCCACATACTACTTATATCTGTCAACATTAGTAGCATGCACCGCATAAGTAATATTGATTCTAATAAATAGTAATCACATGTAGTTTCATTTTGATTTTGTGCACAAAAGAACAAAGACAACTCGTTATTCACAATAACAATAAATATTATTTATAGAGAGTTATCAGATATTGAATTGTCACATGTGTTTTAGTTAAATACATGAGAGAAAAAAAGGAGAGAACATTTATTTACTAGAAAGATTCACTGATCGGTAAATGTGATAAAACTTGTAATTGATCAAATTCAACGATTTATTGTACCATGTTTTGTGAAAGAATTTTAGCTGGGATTATGTTGTTTAGTGGAAAATATGATTTTTTTCTTTGTTTTAAACAATTCTAGTGAATTGTTCTACTGTTATAGAACTAACTTTGTTTTTTTTTTGGTTAGTTTTTGTTTTAAAAAGTAGTATTTTCATTTACAGTTATGATTGATACTTCGTTATTGGTCTGGTAATGTTTCATTGTAATACATCAGTTAGAAAATTAACTTCCTTACTAGAATAATGCAAAATAGATTATTATTACTATTATTATTACTATTATTATGGAATTTAGAAAGTGTCATTTGCAAGTACATAAAGAAGATTTCAAACTGTATCAAATGGTAGTTATATGTGTTGTTGACTGGAACCAAGTATATCATTTGAGTAGTAAATTGACAAAATAATGATTAGTTGTTACATTTTGTATACATAGTCGTGATTGCTTGACGACCACTCAAATTATATACGCTAAAATATTTGTATTTTACTCCTTAATGAATTAGTTAACGTTAGTTGAAACTAGGTTAGATTTTTAGCAAATTTTCATCACGAACTATGATTTTGGAGACTGATCAAGTGAGGTCAAGTGTCCGAAAAATACTATGCAATAAGGGTATCTAGATCGGATAGCGAAACACTTAACACAGTTACTTCGTGATATCTTCGACAGTCGACCAATGACAATTATCTTATACTCGAAATGACAGGAATTTGTCAATCAATAGAAGCTTGTGAACCTATTTTGAAGCTGGTCACTAATAAACGAATAATTACATCTTTGATTTAGTTCTTTGTATACATAAATCAAGTCTAAATAATTTGAAGTTTTCATCTCCAAATGATATCAGTTAAGGGGTACCGTATAAGATCAATGAGCACTGAATAACTATTCCATCCTTCTTAATCCAACCATACTTTATTTTCAACATTTTGTTCGTTTTTTGTATTCATACTCTTTGCAAGTATTCTTATTTCTCATTGAATTACATAATCATGTTTATTATTCAATTCAGTTATATTTTTGGTTATTTATAATTTTTCAATACGTTAAATACTCTTAACAGTAATAATGATGCACGTTTCCATGTATTTTTCGTATTATATTGACTTATTATTATCACTATTATTATTATAGTTACCGTGGTTATGGTTACTTCACCATTGTTATTTGTAAGTAATGTTTAATCAATTTCATCAGCTTATTTACGCCTTGTTACTAGTTAATTATGCGTGGTTTATTCAATGGATCACGTCACTAACTTATTTTGCCTTATTTTGTTCCTGTACAAATAATTTCTTATATATATAATTACGGATACTTTTGTTCTCTTGAATTGGATTATTTGGAAACTTATTGTTTATTGGTAATTAATAACAGTTTTAAGCATTTTTTTTTCGAAGATTTGGCTTCAGTCCAATGTTGCGTACTATTTACCATAAATTTGATTTGTTTTGTTAATTACCATTTATATCCCGTTTACGTATTATTTCAGTCTGTAAATTCAACCAAATACTTTATACAAAATTTACTATAAGGAATCAGTTAACTTCGTTAAGTGTCTAAATAGATTGAATGGTGGTTTTTTTTCTTTTGAAGGTTGTTTTTCTACATTCGCTCATTGATAGATTGATTTTCACTGAAGATTGTTTAAAGTTAGGAGATAGACCACAAAAATCCAAGGAGAAAAATAATTGGTTCATTTTAGTCTGATACGTTTCATCAATACATCCTAACGATTTTACATTAGAATGTTGAAAACTCAATGAAATCCACTATGAGAATAAGTTGTATTCTAATGCACTAATTCCGGTTATTTTCACTCCTTTTGGGATATGTAATGCGACTTGCAAATTGAGTTGTTCAATGAATTTTAGCCTTTACTAGTCCTCTAACCGATGTCATTTCGTTTTGAAAAACCTATCCAATTCGAAAAAAACTCTTCAAGAAAAACCCATCATAGTAAATAAAAATAGTTATTTATGAGTTAGCTTATCAGAGATAGACTTTCATGAGAGAGACTGAATGTTAAAAGAAAACGATACCTTAAAGAAATCACATGCTTTGTTTTGTATACTAGTGTAGTGGGGACAACCAAATGTATTTGAACACAAAATTACAGAACATCTTGTAAAATCTGAGAACCACACAGTGAATACTTGATTTGCAAAATGTCAGTCAAGTATCTCAAACTGTTCCATTTGCAAATATCAGTCAATCATCTCAGTGTTCCTGTATTTCCATACTAACCTCTTTCTGTTTCTGTTCTTTCCTTCTAGTAAACTGGTGAAAAGTTACGTGCTACAACGAACCAGCTGTCCGATCCTTCTTTATTTTGTTGTGTTATTCTTGTTTATGTTAGTCATTGACAAAAACTATCTTCAATTTCAGTTTGTTTATATTAAGCAAGTTTATCTTTATTATATACGCAGAAACATAAGCTGTCAAATAAGCAAACGTGAAGGCAAAAGCACAGACAAACTTGTGAGAAATTTACGTTAAGTGACATTCAACAAAAATTTAGATAAATTTAAAATAGATCAGATAAATTAACAGTCACATTGATAGATAGAAAACAACATTAGTATCTGTTAAAACAATTCTAAATTATTTTTATGATATAAAAACGTCCTATTCGTTGGTCAAGTCAATGACCGTCTAGACTTTAGTTCAGTGAATAAAGCTTTCAGCGTTTGGTATGAAAGTTACTTCGTTCGAGTCCTATTGTGAACATCAACTTTGAATTGCAGATACATCTAGCTAATGAGTCGTAAATAGGAGGAAACGCGCCTCCTGAATTCTATCGGTAGCCTCGATTCCCCCATTCTAAATAATGTTTAATTTTCCGAAATAGTATGATTATTAAGTTTTTGTGTGATACTGTTAGTGTATTCTTTCACCTTCTACTTTAATATCAAGGCATTAATGGATCGTGAACGTAGTAATGAACTTCCAAAACTGCAAGTCAGCTTCATCGACTCAATTTGTATGCCGATTTACGAGGTAAATGTTTGACTTTTTTGTTTATTAAAAAGTATTCCTTATATAGTTACATTCCATCATTAATTTTATGTTTCCATTAATCATTTTGATATAATTATAATTTGACTTAATCCTTGTATAAACTGATTTAGTCTATAATTATTTGATTATATTTATCATGAATTACAACCAGTCGAGTTAACCGTTTGAATGTAATTAAGATTGTGATAAGTCTAAAATGTATTGTCGAAATAAGTCAATGTCTAGGTAATATTGCCTTGAGAACCACAATATTGTCTAATCAGTCAATTTTAAGCAACATAGAACCTTGAACAAATATTCATCAGAAGGCGGTTTTGTGGAGATTTTAGTAATTTTTTAGTTCAATTCATGAGTCAATAAAGCTAGATCACCATAGAAAACCTGAAAGCACTGGACGGCCGTTTCGCCCTGGTACGGGACTCTTCAGAAGTGTACACGCACGATCCTGTCCCGCGAGACTCGAACCCAGGACCTGTAGGTTTCGTACGCGAACGCTTAACTTCCAGACCACTGAGCCGGCATCCGACGGTGTTAATTTCATCAGGTTAAGTTGTCACACTTTATCAGCATTGTAACATAAAACTGTAAAAACAAATCCCTGAATAGTAAGATTAATAGTAGTATCAGTGATAGACATAGAAAGTATGATATAAAAAAAGAAATGAGACAACTTTAAGATTCAAGACTCAAGGGTAATTATCATCCATACCATTGTGATCGGTTCCAAGGCATGTTATTGGAAATATCCAATCATTTTTCATAACAATGTCATTGATTCCGATCAGACAGTCTATGATCTGTCTTATACATCTTAGTCTCATAGTCTATGACTTCATAATCTGATGACAAACGTTATTTTGGTCATATCTACATTTTTTCCAATCTACTGACTACTGTTTATGTTTTTTTACTATTGTAAACTGAAAATATCTAAATAATATTGAATAAAATAATATCATATACCATTGTATTCTGATTTTCATTTCTAATCTATACCAGTTTCATAATAAATAAAGGGATTGATTATATGATATTACAACCTTATTTATGAAGCTATATTATAATAAAAGTGTTCAATTCCATTCAATGTACAACATTAATGTTGTTTATTTGTTTTGCTCTTTTTTTCAAATCAAAATTATGTTCAAAATTTTTTTTTTTTTTGAAAAACAGGCTATTGTACAAGTTTCTCCAAATTTCGAACCATTACTAAAAGGCTGTAAACGTAATCGTACATGTTGGCTTATTCTATCTGAAAATGGTGAAGTTGATCATTCATTATATGGATTAAATGATGAATCAGAGACTACACCAGGAACATTAGTTGGAACTACGGGAAAATCGATCACAACAACAACAACGGAAGAATCAGCACACCTAGAAAATGTAAACATATCCACATTTGGTATTATTACATCATTAGGTACATTGAATCCAGATTCAGCTGAACGTATTGCAAAAAGTAAACCATTTACATCATCAAATATTCGTAGAGCTTCTGTATCATCAATGACTACAGTTGGGGGTCAGGAACCACCGATACAATGTCAATCATCTGTTGAATCCAAATAATGCATTGATACATACACTTGCATACATATTCATATATACTACACACATTTTGTTTTACCGATTCACGTGAATCGACTTATTCCAGTATACTGTCTTTCAGGTGTGTTTGTGTGTGTTTATAAATGTGCGCGTGCATGTGCGTTGATGTTTATCCGCTTTTATTTTCACATCTGTCTTTTGTGTTATTCGTAAACACGGAGAATAATATAAGAAAGTTATTAGTGGATAATGGAATGCACTGTTACCACTGAATAGATTAAATATGTATTTCTTTTACTAATAGTACATATTTGTAGAGAGGGAAGGGGTGAGGGTATATATTTGTATGTCTGTGAGAGAGAGCGAGATCTCTCAATGTATAGCTTGTCTGTACAGCAAATGTAATTAATGATCACTTCACTTTCCAATTACGTTTTATTTTCTCATTTTTTTCTTTATTTTTATTGATATTCTATGACGTAATTCAGATAGTTTATTGATTTCTCATCTTTAATTATGCCTTTTGTTGTTAGGCCTTGTGTTTCTGTTTTACAACCTAATCTATCTATCTGTTTTTGCCATGACGACAAATCTCTGAATGTATACATGCATGTGTGTGTGTTTGTGTGCGTACCGTTTGTTGAAACAGCATTCTTTTCTTATTTAATTATTTATTTATTCATTTTATTTTTTTCGTTTTTGTGTTGTTGAACAAAATGTTGTTCTTAGTTTAAATGAAATACAAAGAATAGCATTAACTCTACGACCTTTACATTCAGTCTAAATTGCGTGATTATGTATTGTTTTACTGCACAGTCAGCACTGTATTCTTTTTACATCATAATAATGTATTGTGAATATCAGTATTATTTTAGTATGTTTACAAGGTATTCAGTCTAGTATTTTTGCTCTCTACTGAAATGAATTATGTAAAATTAATGTATTTGTTTGTTTGTGCCATGAAGGAACAATTCCTTTTGGTTGATGTTATTGTTATTGTCCTCATCTTGGTTAATTTATTCTTCACCCTACAGTTTTCAAATTTGTCTTCTTTTCATTCCTCATCATGATTGTTTAAACTGTTTGTTTCTTTATTTATTTTTCGTTAGTGTAAGTACTATTTTCTTCTTGCATTATTTGTTATTAAAGGCTGTGATTATTTTCCCATTTACCTATGGTATATATAACTAAGTTTTAGTGATGGACATCTATACAAATGTAAACATTTAATGTGGGTATCTTTTTAATGAGACAAGATTGAAAAATATAACTTCTTTTTTTATTACGACAATAGATTCACATGTTTGGTTCCCACTGATACTATTCATCAGCTAAAATAACATCTGATGTTAATGTGTATTTCTTACATATTTAGTGTTAGAGATTTAAATTGTACCTTGGTGTAAGAGTTTATTCTTAATGTGTTTTGATAGTTTTATACTTAGCATACATAAAAACTTGTACAACTTGTGACCAAAAGTAGTATGCACCACACTAAATAAAGAGATATTATGAGAAAATAAAGGAGAGAAAGAGACTACCCAAAAAAAAGAGTAAACAAGAACAGGAAATATAATTCAGTTGGAAATACAACCAAGAAAGACTTGGTTTACTCGACGGTGTCCTCCTCACTTTTGTGGAGAATTTAAATTAGGCTACAGCAGGGTTCAAACTGTCCTCTATTTCGAGATATTTCTGATGACGTTCGAAACCATTGGGTGGCACCAACTCCAGGACCACATTCAGCGATTCATAATAAGTTGACAGACACTAGCTATATATAGCTTTTTTCCATATCACATCACCATGTTATAAAATGACAACCTCTTCTCTGAGCTGTCCTAGTATCATCATTAAGTACTTGATCTGGAAGACGCTGATATGACATCAGTAAAATGCCTCCAAACCACTGAAACTAATGTTTCAAGGTGGCGACACAAATTCGGTTATCGCCAATACTCCCGAATATACATATTCAAACCTTGGCATTACTAACATCGTGTTGCCTCCGGATATCAGCGCATTTTTGTCGACAACGATAATCAAATTGAAAGTCGCTGAATATCCTCAGCCTAGGAAGTTCAACTTCCATAGACGTAAAACGGAACTACTATCAACGACGCTTTGTGACCTAATCCTAAAAGAACTATTAACAATTATATGTAGCTAATAACATATTTCATTATTTAAATGTTAGCAATTACTTAAAATGGCCTATGTGTTATTTTTAATGTTTATCGTTGATAATTGAAATTAACTCACTGACAGGTAAATCGATAAGTTATCAGGTAACTGATTTATTCAGATTTTTTTTTTTTGATGAATTATTTTAGTCGAAATAAAACAATTTCTATGAACTGGCAAGCAGTAGATATTAACGACAAATTTGTTAAATCTTTTTTGTCCTTCACCTTAAAAACTGGCTAACTAGTTTCTTTTTTCATATCTTGTAGTTTCCTTACTCTAGTGGTCATAAATTCCAGAAAATGTGATATACATTTAAATATTTCATATTGAAAGTGACCTTCTAGTAGTTGTTACGAAATTAAATAGGCATATAACAATTTACTAACATACTTCATGCCTAAATTCTAAAAGAAAATATTATACTCTTCGAAATAGAAAACGTTGAACAAACATATACAACATTCACAAGTTAAATGTATTTGTAAATGGATTAATCGGGGGGATTTGATTGATGTAAAAATTACTAAAACCATAACATTATTCTATTTGTTAACGCGAAGAAATTCTTAGTTTCAAGGCTACTTGTAAGCTGAAAATGGCCTAAAATTTACATCAGTAGCTTTGTTATAAAAACTAGATTGCATTGATTACGATATGTAAAACTTTGAAACAATATTACTTATCTGATTTTAGACCGTATCTGATGCGAAAACTTGAAATATAAGGAATTCATGTTATTGTACAAACCTTGTTCCTGCTTTATTTATACTTTAATAGTTGGGATTATAAGTCAATTGAAGCAAGACAACCACGGAAAACCGGACCACTGATGCTGCCGGCATCCAACGGTTTTAATGTCTAACTTTAATAAATCCACGAAATCGAGCGACATATCCACCATTGTCATCAGTGAGTTACTATCTCACAATAGACCTGGTTTAATTCCACTGGTCACTGCTTACCACTAGAGGTTAATCGTTTGCACTCGAGACTGAAGGTCCTGGGTTCGAATCTCGCGAGGCGGGATCGTTCGTGCGCACTGCTGAGGAGTCCCACAATAGGATGAAACGGACTACCAGTGCTTCCGAGTTTTTCACGGTCGTCTAGCTTCAATTGACTCATGATCTCAACTATTTAAAAAAAGTTATTGCTTAAATAGTAGATTTGATGTAGATCTCTACACGAAATCAGGGTATTTGTATAGATCAATAATTATTATTATGTACACAAAAATATCCAGAGTGATAATTTCCTGTATAAGTTAGTGTGATAGTTTGAAATATTTGAATTGTAATACAAACTGAGAATTCCAGAAATAACGCAATTTAACCAAGAAGTACTAGATAAACGCGAACGAACGTATTGTATTTAAAATTCGAAATCAGGCATTCAACAAGCACAAAGAAGTCATTAGTCCATACAAGCATCACATCCGCCACAACTTAAATGAGAATCCAAATTTCTGCGATCAATTGGACCCAGGATTTTCGTTCTCGCGCGTAAATGCTAAACCTCTAGACCAATGAGTCGGCATCCGATGGTGTTGATGTCTAACTCCAATCGACCCATGAATGGTTGCGCACTGTTCAGGAGTCACGTACTGAGATAAAACAGCCGTCCAATTCTTCCAGGTTTTGAATAGTGATCTAGTTTATATCGACTCATGAATCCAACTATTGAAACCTCCACATACACCATTCTGATCATAATCATCATGTGCTCACTAGTGATTGGCTTCAAGATGATTTCTGAGAGTTCTAGTGAGACACAGTGACTAGTGAAGTGAAAATCTTACTGTTATGTGCAACACTTAATAAATGAATAGAAAAATGTTGAATATTACACTTTTATTGAACATTTTAAAAATGGATGTTTATCCTTGTATTTTTATTGTTATTGTATTGTATGTAGGCGTAAAATATTAAATTTGCGTGAAATAAGGATTACTTCAGTTATTATCATATGAATATCATAGACATTTTGTATATTTAGTCACAGTTTATAAAATGTATCTGTTGCATATTTATAATGAATTTATTTTCTAGATAACATGAATACAGTAAATGATTGACTGATGAATTGAAATGGTTACTTTTCAAAACCTGAGCTTATTGATTAAATATCCATATTTAAATAACTAAATTTTAATTATGTATATATAACTGTGGGAAAATCACTGGAATGCAGTTATCTCTAACTGACGAGTTCGAAATAGGATGAATAACGTAACCAGAATTCCACTGCTAGGCAAAAATCTGTATGAACTATAAGAAGAAATAGTAGTTTATCATTTATACTAGTGATTAACAATGGTATCTTAAGCGTGTTTCGTTTCATTTGGACTTTACCAGTTGAATATATTTTGGTTTGTATGAATGTTTACGCGCGGTCACTTAAAGCATCCAGCTATTATTAAATAGGTTACAGGATTTATTTATTTAATTAACGATTATCAGTTGTTAGTTATAGTTTGCAATATTGATTTGTTAATTTTGTTAGACTGAATTGCCTAGTTTATCTTGATATTTGATAGTGAAAAAGAAATTTTTTACCAGAAAGCCATATGTTTTACTATATTACGCTATTCAGTATTCGAAAGTGATCCGTTTTTACATTTGATAGTCCATTATCAATATATTTTCACTGTGGTAAATATTTTGTCTTGCAGTTCAAAAAACAAAGAATCATAATGGATATACTTTTTAATTTATATATATTGGTTGTTTAGATCTTCCCATTGATCAGTGTCTTTTGGTATATGTGAATCTTGTGAGGACTGTCTCAATGTTATTATTAAGTTGCTAGCATTTTAAGCAAAGATGGGTGGTGGTTAGCATTATCATGCAGGACGTGCATTTTTCCCTATTTGGGACTCTTTAGTTAAATATACCTTTAAGTTAATAGAAAGATCAAAACAACTAATACATATGAGTTAAACTTTACTTCTTTGCACAAGCCAGTGGCTATCTGGGCTCAGTAGCTAAATGGGTAACACGATCGAGTTTGAAGCGAACGGTACTGGCTTGGAGTCCTGGGGTGAATATCAACCCTGGGATCCAAATACATACAGCGACGAGTTCCAAATGGGTCGAAACGCACACCTTGGATTCCAATGCTAGTCACGATCCATCTCTGTTTAACGTATATATTTCCCTAGAATAACACGTTCTTTGTTCCAACTATTTTTACCATTCCATGTGGATCTTTTGTGAAACAGTAGTAAAGTTTTCATGCATACATTCAAGTAGATACCGCAGTAAATGATTGAACACTGGACTTAAAGAATCTCAGGTACCGATTTTGAACGTACTGAGTAAATCTATTTTTGTAATGCATACGATAGACAAAAATAGAGGCTAAAACATTATCCCTGATATAAAGGAGTAGATTTACTCATTCCAATGTATAATAACAACTATTACATCATTATTGACTCATCTGATTTTATGTTTAACTAAATTCCACCTGATCTCATTTCTATACCTGCTAGTTTGATCATGGTTTCTGAGTTTCACTATTATCGTATGTGAAATGCAATCAATTGTCTGTATTGCAATGAAATGCTGGGAGATATAGTACATAGGGAAAAACAACGGAATTTTAAACACAATACATACAATGATTATGATCCAATCTACTTGGGAATGTGAACATTCTTTATACTGAATATCCATAACTTATAAAGAATATAATTCTGCCATATTGTCGGCCAGATGAACTATGTCAGTGGAAATTTTTATTTCATTGACCAGTAAAATTCTGTCTGCATCACAAACTGCGGTATTTCGACCAACTATAATAAATGTGAGGGACGTTGACATTCCTAGAGGAAATCTGTAATTACTAAAAACCTCATTAATGTAACGTAATCATACTTTTGTTCGTTCAAATTGTCTACCTCAAATTTATCAATAATTTCTTAGCACTTTCTCGTGTATGAGAACATTTTCTTATAATGAAAGTGTTTACTTAAGTAGTATATTTCAATTTGCACAATTTTCAGTTGACTATTTCAATATGATGTAAGAGGAACAAATCCCAAATTTCTATAACATTCATCAAGGATTAACTTATTTATGCATGAGTGTCTAGAGCTCTTAATTTCACTTTAATGAAATACAGCTAATAAAGAACAGTTGTTCTTTTGTCTTCAGAAATATCCTTGAAATGCTTTCAGTGAGGGAGTAATGCTCTTATTAAGGCAGTTTTTGAGAATATCCCTAAGAGAATTCAGCTGTCGGCGTTTACGAGTTATCCATAGTTATTGATAAATAGATCACTTAATAGGAATTTGTGTGAAATTTATCGTCCTTGGAGTTTTTTCTCTATTACTCATACCAGTACTGAGATTTCCACTCAAACCCTAGCAGGAAACTAGTTGAGTGAAGTTTTGA